TTTTTAACAATTAGGATTAATTTATCTATCTTATACATTTTGTAAACTATTACTGTTATTTATTTTATCAGTAATCAATACATTTTTACGAAAAAGAATATTTTTGCATATTWAAGAATATTTTGATGAAATTATAGAGCATAGAAACATCTTATTTCTATGGTTTTAAGCGCATATAAATCCGGTCTCTACCTATCACAGAAGAAATGATGCCTCACGCATAGGTCTGTCGCATAGGTGCAACTAAAGGGGTGCTTGGGGGTGTTGAAGCACACCCAGGTCAAAAATACCAAAAATGGAAAAATCATGAAAAAAGTTTTCTTTGTTATACGTAAGATTGTTTTTTATTTGGCGGTTTTGGTGAAAACACAAATTATTTATGATGATTTAGTTATACAATATGGTTGTATCAAAAATTAGTTATGTAACATTGACATTTTTATCTGTTTATACTAGGTCATTATATGAATATATAGGTAATATAGGTAATGTATTTATGACGTATATTACTGCTTAGATACTTAAATATTAGTGTGCTTATGTTTTTACAGTGCATCTAAGATTGGTTATAGTAATTATAAAATTGAAGAATGTTACTTTGGGATGTGGGGGTGTAGCCCCCACCGACCTGTTTCATCTACATAATTTTAGCACCCCCAGTGTTTGGCCTCTAGTTGCGCCTATGAGCCGTCTGTGTTGCCTGTGCCTTCTGCCGGGCTTGGAGGCTACTGTATATTTATAATAGTCAAGACTGTAATTTTGGGAGGGGCTGCAGTCCACTAGGATGAATGGTGATATAAGTGACAGGGCCAATGTTTAGAATTAAAATATAATAATCTACTATGTTAAAGAATTTGAATTACATACTTTCCGTTTTTGGAAGCAGTAAATATAATTTCTTGCAGTTTGCCACTGCTTGTGCACATTCGACAAATGGAATGCTTTGAACGTACCAAAACTGGTCTCACTATGCGTGGCCACTGTTCATCCGTGTCTGGCCTCTTCCCTATAATGATTAAAAAGTGTCTGTTAAAAAAGGCGATTTCCAAACTAGGTTGAGAAATATTTACTAACCTTTTTTAATGATTATATATGAAAAAAGTTCTCGTTTAATTACAGATTGTTGAGCTATTCTTGGTGTATAGTAAGATACTTCGAAATTGCAAGGGGTGTCGTCAGTATCATAACGTGGACAGGAGTGTTCATGAGGGCACTATAGACAATAAAATAATAGGTAAAATCAATAATTATTTTTAAAAGTTTTTAATAATGAAATTAACAGTTATTTAAATGTTACCGGTGAAAATACATGACTTTTAGTATTGTTTTGAGAAGATATTTCTAGAAGAAGGTCTCTGGCTTCGTTTATCAAGTTGAACCCAGCCCTCGTTCCCATTTCAACAAGTACAATATATTTTTTTGTCTTGTTCCATAAATTTAAAAGTGTCTCAAACCGATTTTTAATGTCTGGCAGTTCAAACAAAGTGTATGCAGATACGACGAGATCAAACTTTAACTGAGAGCAACATTACACAGGTAATTATTATTTGAAAACAGTATAATACATTGTTGATTTCAAAATTATTGTATAATGTTAACCATACGTTTGGTGATGCTGGTAAAAATTGTCTGTAAAACAGACCTTTAGGCAATATATTTTCATTATTCGGATTTCCCTCTTGCAAAAGAAGTCTGGCCAGATCATTCATAGTCGATGAAGTGTCCACACAATAATATTCTTTTAATGAGTCCTTCCAGATATTTTTTGCGTTTCTAAAAATATTTAAAAAAAAAAAGACAACCAATTAACTTTAATGAATGCCAATGCCAAATCTAAGAAAATATTAGCTTAACATTAGTTATCTTTATTTTTCACATACTCATTAGTCATAAGTAAAAAACTGCTTTTTGCATTTCTGCTAAAAAGATCAACTTCATGAACTATTACAATATTTACTAAAAATGTGTTGAATAGTTCAGTTACAACCAGTTGAAGTTATTCCAATTAGTATTGAAAAACTATAAATAGGGAACTACTGCATTAACACATTCAAAGTACATTTTTTAATATATCATGATTACCTATTTTGTACTGGTTGAATATTAAATGAGTATTGTTGGAAATAGTACATGATAGATATAGACTATAAAATATGTTACGCTAACATCTTCCTCAGTGGAAAAGTAAAGGAAACGTACAAGGTAACTGTACCAATACCAGAACCAAAATCAAACAGGGATTCAGGCGCAAAATTTGGGTCTCTTTGTTGTAATTCGTTAAATATTGTATTTATAACATTGTATTCTGGAGCAATACGAGACAGCAGGTACTGATGGCATACATGTCTGTTACTGTAATCAATTGGTTTCCAATTATAGGTCCTTTGAGCAACAAGTCTTTCTACACGGTTGTTGATGAATTTTTCAAATTTAATTTGTTGCTCTTCACTCATGTTTTCACAGTAATCTGAAACCTCAAATTTGTTCTTTATAATTACATTATTATAACTTAGGCATTCAATACATATTAATAAAGTATACACATCATAAATTACATAGGCATAGTGGTCACTAACGTCACTCAATGTTGTAAACAATAATTTTTAGAGTATTTAAAACAAATAGCTATATGGGGGGTTTTTTTTTTATAATTACCTACCCTTGATTCTGATGAATAAGCAAGGATGTAAAATTCATTATGTTATATGAAGTAAGGTAGAATTGTGGAATTAAAATACTTGCCACATAAATACTGGAAATTGTTATAGAAAAAAATATATTATGCAAATTACCATAGACGGATAGGCCTACCGGGCATCCGGGCATTTCCCTGTGGGCCCCCCTTCGTATTTCGGTAATGGGGCCCTTTAATATCATATATTATTAAAAAAATTTTCATGTGGAGGCCCCTTTTTAAAATTTTCCGGTAGACCAAAAATGGCCTATCCGCCCATGCAAATTACTAATGTAATATAAGATACAATTGATAAATACTTCATTAATATAAATATTTTACAACACTGAGGTTACATATAAACAACATTCTCATTTACTCAAAAATACATACATTTTTTTTCTAATTCAACTCTGTTCTGTTGCTTTTTTTCCATTATTTCACTTTGTTCAATAGGACTGTGTCTGCTGTGCAAATAGTTTAACAATAGCTTGCTGTCACTCATCACGTTTTTCAACTGCCCACCTTCAAAAATATAGCATTGCAATAGGACTTTCAATTATATGTTTTAAAAAAAAGGAAAAAGGTAAATCAAATTATATTTATTGGTTGTTCTGACCTTTGAGAGTTTTTAGTACGGCATCAGTCAAGTTATCTGGAAAAGGTTTGGCTTTAAGATTACACCTTCCAGGGTGTTTCCTGGCTTTGATATCTTCACGCAATACCATCTGACGCACATCTTCGTTGAAAATAGCAGTCAATTTTGTTTTAGTCGCATACTGAAAACGAAATAAAAATAAAAATATACTAATGAAACAAAAAGCCAACAAGTCTAGGTCAAATTGTTATGGAAACATTGAGGGTTAAGTAAATATAATATGAATATTATTCTTAAATCGTAGGTACTTACAGATCTCTTGAAAAGAGCGACGCAGCAACTGGACATGGTGCACATCGGAGTTCGAAAATTTGAACATTCAAAATTGAGGTCCCCTGCGCCAAACGCCTTATCAACCGGCGGCAGAGGTAACCATGTTGAGTCGTATGTGGTCTTATCAGCCTCTAAGCGGCGTTCTTCTTCCACGGTTTTGGTTTTTTCCTTGATTTTGATTTCCGATCATTTATCAACATTCCCATTTGCGACAACTCGTATCGATTGGAGTTACCAAGTTGCAAACGGCGGGCAATTCAATTGGCTTTGCAATCGCTCAGGAAATACATAATTTCGTGTGTTCCGGTCCAACGCGATATTAGTCAGACCGTCGGATCACGAGAGGAAAAGCGAAAAATATGAAATTCGCCGAGCATTTGGCAGCGCACATCACTCCCGAGTGGAGAAAACAATACATCAGTTATGAAGTAGGTCAAAATATTATAATAATATTACACAAGCATTAAATATACTGTATTATGAAGCATAACGGTATTCATTTTTAAAATATTGTTTGGAATTTGGTTATGTGTGTCTAATCTGTTGCTTTTTTACAGGAAATGAAAGAAATGTTATACGCTGCCATCGAACAGGTGCCAGCGCCCGATCAAGTGGACCCCGATTCGCTTTCACGATATTATGCCAAATTTGACGAAAAGTTTTTCAGTTTTTGCGACAAAGAACTCGCTAAAATCAACACGTTCTATTCAGGTTCTGAACATCATTTATGATTTTGTTTGACACCTTCCTCTGTGTGTGTTCACCCCCATAATAAAGTTCACCCGATTTTCATCGTTTGAAAGCTGCTGCTATCTCATCAATTCATAGAATTGTATCACTTGTGCATGTTACGGTTGCATGAAAATTAGAATAGTGTGTGAAGGTGTACTGGTTTAACAGTACTTAGAACACTTCCAACTACACAATATAGTTCTCTACTCTTACAAAGCGTCACGAGTACATTTATGTTTTATATACTCTTAAAGTTTTAACCTAACATTGTTTAGTCTAGTACTGATTTACTATATGCACATTATGATTCATTGTTTTTATATTTTAAAATATCAAATTCTATATTATCCCTAGTGATCAACTGGATTGTTTTTTTTTTTTTTTATAAAATCAACAATACCTATTCATCATTAAATTATAATTTGACTATTCAATTAGATATATAGAACATAGGTATTCTTAAATCTGAATAATTTTTACCATCAACTGACATATAAGTATATCTCGGTATTTAAGTTATAATTGATTATAACAGTTGGTATAATATAAAAATATACATATTCACGATTTCTAGTTGTAACTTAAAAGTATATTATGTTTGATTTATTAAGTTCCTAAAAGTAAATATTAAAAGTTAATGGATTTGATGTTTTATTTTTAAATATTTGTATAGCAAAATTATTCATTTGTTTAACACTAGTTCATGAATTTATAAATTTCCTATCCACAAAAAGTCTGATTGCAAATATAGTATATTTAATCAGTTTTAATATAAGTACCTACGCCTTCATTGTTTTTTCTTATTTCTTATTTAATTGCTCTTTGCAAATTAATCATGCATTAAAATGTTTTTAATATCAAACTGATCGAAGCATATCCATAAAAACTTTTCATCTATCACTGTAATTTACACTTACTGCAAAGTGCTTTACATTCAAATCAATCCTATATCTTATAACCATTAAGACCCCGAATTAAAAACAAAAATCAGTATATGTATAAACCTCAGATCAAAAATTTTAATTTAATTTTTACAATSTGAACGCTATTTCATGTTCGAGGGTATTATCATAAGAGGCAATCAAAAACTTTAAAAATCATATTTAATATTTCTTATAACCTTTAATAAATACATTAATTATTTGTTCATATTATGTATTGATAGTTGTTGATACAAGAGGTAACACATGAACAAGACAGAAAAAAATTACATTTAATACTATATTCATAAAATATTGCAAAAACAGTAAACCAAACACATTGGTACAACAAATTAGTAGGTATAAAATAATATCCTTTATGATTTCAATGTTTTTAAATATTTAATTGCTGACTTCAAATTTAAGAAATAACAAAAAAGTTGTCTAGTCTCATACCAAATACTGCAAAACTGTGCTTAAAAAACCCCATTTTGTGACTGAAAAAAATGGTTAAATGTACTAAGGAGTAAGAACAGAAAACATGAAATCACATTGTTTGACAGTAAGTGTTTTTCCACATTTTATTTTTATTAGTTTTAGACTTTTAGTCAGTTAGAGTTGAAAATAAATCAATAATTTCTTAAATGATGTAAGTGTTGAATAAAGCACTAGACTATCACATCCTTAATAATTTTTGTAATAGCTTGTGTTTACTTTTTTTTGTCTTGGAGCATTGTTTTAATGGTGTCTTACTTAGTAAGAGACACAAATAATGTTATAATATTATCCTCTCAACTTGTTATAATGTTATATTTACTTACTGCTTAGTATGAGACATATGTAATCAATTGTTAAAAGTTTCTGATGTTTTAAATTATACAACGCACACAATTTTAATGTTAAGATTGAATGCTGATTATTTATAAATAAACAGTATGTATATGGTATACCTAATATCAACCTATATAAACCTACAACTTGTGCACATGTGATGCAACTATAGCTGATGCCTGAGACTTAATGTTTATAAGTTACGTTTTGTAAAATAAAATTGCATTTTTATTATCAAGGATTGCAAATGGAACATCGAAAGCTTAAATTACATTTACACTTGCAAAGTGTAATTAGACATTTTGTAAAAACAATATGGAATATTTTCCACCTTGGCTGGAATTGATTGTCCTCATACTAATTTTTATATTAAAGATTTAATAATAATTAGAAGATATACTCACCTGTTAAAAAAATTAGTTGTAGGACGTAGGTACTCATAGCTATTTAATTTGATACATTCTAATAGAATGTAGAAGGACTTATGTTGAAATATTTAAATATTTAAATAGGTGGTAGATAGGTAAGTAAGTACTAATTTCAGTATTTTAATGGCATATTATACATAATAATATACCTATATATTAATATTTAATACCATATTATAATGGCACTGATATGATAGTTACTATTAGAATGAACTAAATATGTATTAAAACATTTTTATTCTACCGAGTTTTGGGCATCTGCTTATACAACATATCTACTTATCATGTTATTATAATATGATAAATAATTACAATGATCAAAGCTTTAGATTTGGGTAGATATCAAATTTTCTTAGATTATGAGTGGAGCGATGCTGGTTTATTGGTTTTAGACGAATTTTTAGCTGTTTATTGGCATTTAATTGTAAACATGCTGGGCTACCTATACCAGTTGTGCCTTGTGCTCTATTAATTAAAATATATCGAAAATATAATATCAAAAATTTTTTTATTGTCATTTTAAATTTTAGCATTTTCAAATATTAGTTCAACCGTTATACTTATAATAGATAAATAAATTATAATTAAGCATTATGTACCTAGTAGGTAGGTATTTAAATTTAACACATAAATTACAGTGACTTACCTACTCAGTGACTAGATAAACTCAAAACCTACAGTACAGTAGAGCCATTCCTCTGATTTTTATTCATTCTTATTTTTTATTAAAAAAAATACTTTTCATTTAAAATTTTAGGTAAATTTACTAAACTGAAAGCTTAAAAATTCAATGACTAAGTTATTTACCTATATCGGATTAAACGTATAGGTACCTTGATACCTGGCACTTTATTAATTTAGAAATCACTTACCTATAATTGATTTATAAAACATAATGTGCGTACTCTGTACATTATAATTTATATTTATGGATAATCAAAAAAATATATGCCTCTGACTATGTCTGACCCTTACATAGTTCATATATTATATACATATACAATGTACCTAACTACCTAAGTTACTTATAATTTATAAAGTTAAGAGTTATTCTGAGTTTTGATAAGTGTACCTATAACCATAACCTATACATCATATAATATAAACTGTATTATAATGTAGACTTGTGGATATGAAAATACATTGTTAATGGGTACCTACATTATTTGTACAATTTAATCGCTATAAATTAAATACTAACGTACTCATCAATGTATTATTATTTATGATTAAAGTGGAATTGTTCTATAGCGGATGATGAAAATTCAGTGTATCATAAAAATTGTCTTTGTCAAACGTGAATTAAACTTAATCAGTTCTTTTTCCATCAAATTTAATTGTATGATTATTGTATATTAAAGCATATACATAATTTTTTTTAATAGTACCTATAATAACTTATAACTTTGTTACGTAATGCATTTACTAATAAATGCGCGTATTTATGATTTACATAACTAATATTTTTAAGATAGGTAGTAGGTACTTGAATATTGAGGAATAAATGACCTGAAAATTCAAAAATGGTGCAGAGTTATGGGGTAGGTTCATTTAAATTCTTGTTGATTTAAATGTGATTAAGAAAAGTCGTAATATGGAATATTTTTAAAATACTTAATGTATTAGCAAGGTTAACATCGGTTATAATTTATAGGTTATAGGACTTTAGGTACCTTTATATGTAAGTAGATAATAATATAATATGATAGTCATGTAAATATAGCKTAACTTTGTACCAAGTGAATTACCTAAAAGTATTTGAAATAATTAAAGATTTTAATATAATTTTCGAATTGGCGTACGATATTATACAATACATAGATCTCAAGATTTCGTCATATTATTTTTTAAAAAAATTACATAAATTGAACATTTATTTTTTAATATTATAAAATTATACGTATATGCCATATGGTATATAGTATAATAATATCTATTTAGTATGGAATAATTAGTTTTCTTTTATTTGAATGATATTATATAGTAAAATAAATGATCAGCTGTGCAATTATTGTTAACTGTTGTTTAGTGAGGTACATTAATTAAATGAATGGATTTCAAATTTCAATTACTATTATCTATAAATAGTATATTAGTGTGATCAAAAAAGTACTTATGGAAGACTTAATAAAATAACGCATACCTATAGTGTAGGTATGGGTCATAGCTACTTACTTATGTAATTATCTTTCAACTTTCAGTATTATTAATTGGAAATAAATAAATAAATAGGAGTGGTGTTTTATATGATTCATTATTTGAGTTAAAATTGTTTTTTTTTTTTTGTTAATTATAGTAAGTTGTTTATGCAAATGTAGAATCTATGACGTGGATATAAATACATAATATATAAGCGAATTTCCGTAGTATTATACAACATAATAATATATAGACATATAGTTAATCATAACACACTAAATATTTAAATGCTATTTCAACATCTAAAATTATCCTTTATTGTTTAATATGTATATAACTATAACTATATATATAATTATTCACAAGGAATGGTTTTAATGCCAGCTTTTGCTGTACCACTGGCATGATATAATTTAAAATTGTTTCTTTCTTGAGTCCGATTTGTTGGCAAACTAACTTATTTAATCAGTCGGCCGTGCTCAAGTATAATATAAATATACAGAGTGTACTACGAAAATCTGATATAGGCTAGTATATACCATGTAGATATATGGATCATATGTTATACCCTGTATATAAGTATTATATATGTATACTAACAAAAATATTTTAATTAAAACGATCATCTCTACCTATATCAATGAAAATACCATAATAAATATAACGACTAAAATATGTTATGTTATAATAACATATAATTCCAAAATGCAAACCTCTGCCAACAAGTATGAAAGCACTTAATACACATATATTATTATGGTTATCCACGGAACATGACTACTTTTAGCGAATTTCTTCATTAAAGAATTAAGAACGACGATCACAAAAATCTATTTTGAATCCATAATTTTGTGAGCAGTGGCATGGAGATGTAGGTATACCTACTGCATGTCTGCATCGTCCTATATCCTTTAAAAAAAAAATAACAGACTACTCGCAGAACGACAACAATAATCATATGTACGAAACAAATTATTTTTGTTTATAAGAATTGAGTTTAGAATATTATATTCTAAAGAACTACGTTATGTTGTTTGAATATCAGTTAATAATATAATTTATTAACATTTAAATACTTGATATAGGTAATAATTTGTTTTATGTTGGCAGTGCACTTAACATTTTGCACAAACATAATAGTATATGGATTCTGTTCAAAATTCAAAATTTCAAATTCGAAATTAGGCCGAACTTAGTGAATTGCTACCACTGATAACTTGCATTTATCCATTATTGATGGATACAGTAACAAATTGTCTGGAAAAAATATTTGGTAGTAGGTACTATAGTTTATACGATATCAAAATGACTGAAAAGTTATTAAATACTTTTTAGCTTATAACCATTGATTATAGAATATAATTATATTCTATAACAAATGTTATAACTAATTAATTTTGACAGATTTATGTTAATGTTTACCATTGTTTACTGATAACCGTATCTAGGTACTCAAAATTTTCGATAATGGACAAAATATAGGTCTAAACTACCTATTGTTTTGTAAATTATGATTGTATTTCTTAATATTAAATATAAATAATATATTTATATTTTTTAATGAGATTTAAACATTAAATTATAATAATAATTAATATTATTAATTATTATACAAAGACAATTGTAGTGCTTAAACTATGTATAGAACTGGAAAATTCGTTCAGCTGTATAGTGTGTGAGTGTACGAAGTACTAAGTAGGTAGGTCACAATAATTGCTAAATTTTAATTCTTTGCAATTTAAACTCTTGTAAACAATGAGGCTAAAATTATTGTTAGGGAAACCTTTGGTATAAATATTAAAAATGTAATGAATTCTTAATAACAAAATAGTTCATGCAATTTTACAAACTTCGTCAATAATCGAATAAAAACTAAAAAAAATTGAACATTTAAAGTATCTATAAATAGCTTAAAAAKTTTTAAAAATTTTTAAAATTTTTATCATTTATTGAAATACATCTTTAAATATTTGTTGAAATTTCCAATTATTATAATATGTTATATTGTTGTATATTATCGTTTTAATACATTTCTACAAAAGATATTTTCGTACATAGTTAAAGATAGGAGCACTTTTCTATATACCTACAATCTACATACTAAAAAGTGTATTTATAGGTACAAAAAAATAAAAACAAATTACTCACCAATGCATTCATCGCTCCACCGAGAATCTAAAATCATCAGTTTACACTCCCTTGGCTATAAAATTTCCAAAATTCACCTGAACTGGATTTAATTACAATCATTTTATTGAAACATCACGGTGACACGGTACTTTTTTATGTAATCATAATATAATATACTAAATTAATTAGGAGCCAGGAAAAAACGATCAATTTATAAATTATGTTTATATTTTTGATTGAACGTCTCGTATAATAACCTATATAGTAATAATATAAACACGTATTCTAACTGTAATGTGCCTTGTAAGTTGCAGGTAATGTAACAGGCTAGTATATAGAAGGGGAGGGGGTGGTGGTGAGGGGATCAAATCTTTGAAATTTTAAAGTAGCTACTATATTAGTATCAAATCCAGTTGTGTATAAAGTGTCCGGGTGGGGAGGTTGAACTCTTAACCACCCCTAAATGCACCACTGAATCCAAACTAATTTTAACTCTACCTCCTCCCGCACCCCC